CCAAAAAAATTTGAACACCTGGGCCTGTTTCCCCCCCCGGGGGGGTTTTTTTTGGGGGGGGGGGGGTAGGTCGTAATTCAAAGATAGAAGGAACTATTTTCGTTGCATCCTGTGTCAATTTCAAACGTTGTTATATATGTCATCAAGTTGTGTCGAAGATTAGATGACAGACCTTCAAATCTCCAACATATAACGGAACTTTTTATTTCCTTGACTGAAAGCAAGGGTTATAATTTCGAAAATGTCTGTCTGTCTGTCCGCATGAGAGAGAAAACCTTATTTTCTCATCCACGAAGAGACATACAGTCATGAAGCTGTTTAATTCGGACGATCTGACAAACATTTACACAAGCTGAAAATCCAAATTGGGTAACTATTTCGCAAACCGCAAAGAAAATACAGAATTAAGCAATTTCTCGACATATCTCGGTGATTGGAATTCAGTCACACCGGCCTCTGATCGATGGACCACTCTGGCCGTTGTTTTCTGTTTTTGTCGCTCTCACCTTCCTGATGTCTTGGAGAATCGAACAACATAGTTTATTCATATAACATTCGGTTTGCAGTCGTGATAGATTTATCATATTTTATCTTTTTCTTGTCCATTTACCTTTGATACACGACTTGTCCGATTGAAATAAAGCTGTTTGTCCATAGAAGGCAGCCACAAGTTTTTCTGGCTGTGCCGGACACAATAATCGAATTCCACTAAATTCACATGAACGTAATGGAAAAGTCCACTTTCGCGGATAAGGTTTCCAATAGTAGTTTCGATCATATTCACTAAGAATTGTTGATGTGTTGGTCGAACTATTTGATTGATCAGGATGATAATCGTAAGTGGGGTAAATGTCAACGTGGCATGCTCTCTCTCGATGAACAAATCGTGCATTGGGTGCGACGAAATGAATGCCTTGCGAATGAAAATACGATCGATTGGAGTATTGAACAATGTACCATTGTGGATGTACTTTAAGTTTGTACATGCTCGAATTCAACAATGTCAAGTTTGAATAGAGCAGAGTAGCAATGGCCACAAGTTTTGGTGTATCACGAGCCATCATTAACACATCGATATCAGGATCATGTGGTAATAAACCACGTCGCTGAACATAGCCAACGAGCGTTCCATAAGCTATCCAGTATTGAAGATTGTGCTCACAAGCAAAATGAGCCCATGCTCGAAGAACAGTGAGAAGAACAAGATGACGAGCATGATCGTCTGGAGCACACCTTGGTATTTGTGTGAGAGCTTGTTTGATGCGAACATTTTCGTCGAATGTTTGCTTTATAGAAGAATAACAAGGTGAATGATAGTTATGGAGAACAGCGTGGATGATGAACAAGACCAGCGAAACATAGGTAAGCACTAAGAAAATTTTCAGTTGATTCTTCCTTTTTGCAGGAAACATAGAACCTCCGTGATGACAATAGTGTCGATTAATAGTATCGATCAGTGAATGGCACATCGAGGTAGTAGGTGCATATGTATGCCACCGGTACAGACGATTCCAGATAGAAAATGGATGAGAAATGTATTCGTGCTTCTTCGTTTGTCTACAGTTCGTCCTGCATCCTCCACCCATACCTATTATAGTATTGCATGGTTTGGTATTTTTAATGGTGTGTGTGTGTGTGTTCTACCGATGAAAATACCAACAAGAATACATACGTTTTTACCTCGTGGTATTACCTGCACAACGGAGATAAGAATATGCAGGATTACCCTAAATATATCTTTATGCTTTTTCTGTTCGTGTCTCTTTCTCTCTTTTTTTTATTTCCGATGAAAATAACTGTACAATACACATTTTCTAGCTGGTCGTTTAAATCCAGGTTAGTGATGACTGTACAATTTCTTTTTCTACTCTTTTTTTCTCGACGGTGAGTGAACGTCCATCCAATATCTATCTTTTCTTTGTGATCACTTTGACCATGAGACACACAACCACACATCATTGGACATTATTCCGTACTCTACGCACGGTATTAAGTAGAGAAGTGGAGCAAAGCATTTGTATTTTGGAAAAGGTGCAAGGACCGCTCTGTGTATCAGTTCTTACATTGCCATCGTCATGCACAGAAGGAATATCGTCAACTCGCGTGACCATCGCTCTGTGGCTGTCAGAGATCGATCGCATTATGAATGAATGTTTAACAACAATATTGATACCAGGTATACATAGTTGAGTGTAGTACCAACATATTATACAAACGCTGGGATAAGCTGTTCAGTACTTAATTTTTATCTACATGCACTACCAGAGGTAGATAGCCAGTTGTGTTGAAAATTGAATCTTTTGAGTCAAAGTCGGGAGTTGTAATAGTACAACTTATAATAAATATCTTGTCAACTGCAAATAGAATTCTCAACTGTTTTTGGACTTAGGAACATTATTATATTATCAATTCCAGAAACTAGGAAAACTCCACGCTCCAGGCTTGTGAAACCAACGTGTGTTGGAATTTCACAAATAGAGAAACACAATAGATTAACTGATTTTGAACCAAAAGGTATGCATTTCAACATAGCTAGCAATCTCGCACTGGCAATGCACGGTAATAGTAACTAAGAGTGGCTCGCATTGAATATCGGCATTGAAAGAAGAACGAAACCAAACTCAAAGATATCGCGCACTGTATTGACATATTAACAAAACAGAGAAGGAGCGGTGGAAGATGAGAGTGGGTTACTCCCCTTAGTTGTTATCTCTGTGCAGTGCAAGTGCTAGATTGCCAGCTGTGTTGGAAAGTGTACCTTTTGTTTCAAATGCAGTTAATCCATTGTGTTTCTCTATTTGTGAAATTCCAACACACGTTGGTTTCACGAGCCTGGAACGTGGAGTTTTCCTTAGTTTCTGGAACTGATAATATAATAGTGTTTCTAAGTCGGAAAATAGTTGAGAATTCTGTTTGCAGTTGGTACGATTGATATTTCTCTTTCGTTGTCTCGCATACTCACCGTAATACTTTCGCGTTTATTGTTTCTTTTTGGTAAGTAGCGAAAAAGGATTTATTTTGGTGTAACCTGTTTCTAAGAAATACAGTGATCATAAACTAAACTTGCTCCTTCACATGTCTCCACATATGTTATACTTTCTAAGCACTGAAGTTCTAGACTAAAAACTAAATTATTCTTCAAAGATTTGATTGCCTTTGTATGTGTCTTGGTGCACAGACTAAAATAAAAACGTGTTCTTGGTTTTATTTTTGAAGCACATTTTACACTTTTTTTCAAGATGCGTTTCTTTCCATTACAGATAACAAACGAAAATGAACGGCATAAAACGGCTTGTTTTCTCCAATGGGTTTTTACTCGCTTCTTTCTACTGAATTTCCCATTTTCTACAATGTGCCCAAGCAAGTAATGGAAAAGATGATCAAAGTTTTGATTTTTCAGTTAGCAATAGAAATGCAATCATTCCCGAACAAAACAAAACCGATCGAAAAAGCTTTTGTTTTGCTGAAGTTAAAGGACTTTTACTGAAAGCACTACTGTACCCAGAATTTAGTCATTATCACGCACGCGATAAAAACTTAAAACCATAATTCAATAAAAGAGAGCGAAAATAAATAGGCTGAACAGCATATTCTATCAACAATTAACCAATGTGAAATAGGTCTAAGAATGAATGAAGAAATTCCATGAAAGAGAAAATAAACTAACTACTACCGGCTCCAAACTACAAGAGCAGTGGTTATTTTTTGAATAACTCAGCATCAGATAAAGATAGTCATTTGCGGTTTTTACCACTCGATAGCCAAGAGTCGAGGCAGCCTCTCTACAAGCAAAACCGATTTTCCGAAAATGTTCAACGTTAGATTTCCAGAGGATCTTTGGAAAACTAGCTTGGATTTTTCAAAGTTCAAACAGTAAACTTTTGATCTTTTCGGAGGCATATATAGTCCGAAGTGTCCTGTACGAAACCGGATCTAAGTGACATCTTGAAAGCCCATGGTTCGGGAGTTATGGACATTTTTCCTGAAGCCTTAGCACTCCTTTGTTTGGGACTGTCAGAAATGAATGAAAACATAGATCAGCGACTATGCGCATCCATCCAATATTTATCTGTTCTTTGTGATCACTTTGACCATGAGACACACAAACACACATCACTGGACATTATTCCGTACTCTACGCACGGTATTAAGTAAAATGAATAAAAACATAGATCAGCGACTATGTTGAATCTCGCGCAATATTAATTTTCAGAACAAAATGCCAGAACTGAGTGAAAATCTATACTAGGGGAAATAACTCATTTTTGATTAGTTTCATCAAAAATTAAAAAATTTGTAACTCAGTCAAAATCCATCCAACCCACTTCAGAATGTTAGCAGATAAAGTTCAATAAATGCTGAAAAAACCAAAGTGTTTTCCGTTGGTTTTTTCCAGATTTATTGACTGTTGCATTATGCTGCAGAGAAAAGAGGGTATCTGCTAACATTCTGAAGTGGGTTGGATGGATTTTGACTG